ACATTGTGGATACCTTGTACATCAACTCTCTAGTATTTTATGAAGTCCCACCGCCTACCATATATACAAAAATTAAATAATGCATGGCAATGTTGCACTTGTTTATACAAAAATTAAACGTCTAGTGTTTCTCATAACTCCTTTTTCATCCACCCTCCTCCTTTAAAAAAGAAGCCCCCAAGCTTTTTAGCATTGAATTCCCTAATGTCAAGGCTTCTCAAGTTATTGGTTTTGCTTCACAGAATTGCCTCCTTTATGACTCTAAACTTAGCTTTGATGACTATGTTAGTTTAGATCTTCATCTATAACGATGAATACTATGTCTCCTTAACACAGTCATCCCCCTTCTCTCGGGCCACTAGCCTCTCTTTTCTTTTCAATGACTCCTTATAATTCACCCTCGACTCCTTCTCTCTTCCCTTATGATGGTTGAGATAGGGGAGAATAAACTTGCACAAAATTTGTGAATAAAGTATGAAATAGAAAATATTGAGTAGGTGCCTCAAATAAGGGTTGGTGATTGAGAAAAAGAAGGAAGTAAAAGGAGAAAGATGAAAGCAATACCTTCTTGATGAACATGATCATGGAAAGCGTGAATGCAGGCTTACCAATCATGAAAGCTGCTTATGGATGTGTTGAAGATTGTAGCAGCAGTGAGATCAAAATAATGGAGAAATAAATGATTTTGCAGAAAAAGTAATGGCATGAGAGAAGATAAGAAAGGTGGTAGCTTTGTTGGCAAATTTTAAGAAGATGTGTAAACACAGGGAGAGAATATGCTTTTTTTATTTTTAAAATTTTGACTTATTTGTCACTTAGATGCCACCTAGACAAGTAAGTGGATCCCACACGACCTAATTAACAAAAATCTACTCTCTTTTGATGGCAAGTGATATATTGCTATGTTTAGACAAGTTTAAGGGTAATATTGCTCTACTTAATAGTTTAAGGTATTGAATACTTCTTTGTAAGTATTTTAAGGGGAAAAAAGGATTTTAACCCTTTGATGAATGTATTTATATTTTGAAAATACTAGAACACCCCTAAAATTTAAAACCCCACTAAAGTATAGCAAGCATTACCACTATAGTGGATTCTAAGCCCTATAACTACTAAAATAATGGCAATTTTCTCCAACTTCATAGAGAGATTTCAGGTACTCAAAATTTAGAAAGTGAGGGAGAGTTTTTGCACATTTCAAAAATTCAGGGTTTAAGATACTATTTACAGAATAATTTATGATCTTGGATGCTCATTAACCTTAATTTTAAAATACATGAACCTCCTTTAAAATTAATGATTGTTAAGCACAAACCTCCCTTCTACTTTTAAAATTTAATTTTTATCCACCCAACTATTAAGTTACACATGTTTGACCAAAATACCCCTCTTCAAACATAAATGTTATCTAAAAATGATTTAACTTACTAAAAAAATCTAATGAATACATTTGTTACCTTTTTTATTCAAATTTAAATTTTGTTGGCTAAGCAAAATTATTTTTTGTGTTTTTTATTCATATATTTTGTTGGTAAAAAAGCATTTTTCTAAAAAAATTAAATAAATGAGTTATCTAAAATAGTATTGCATTCAAACATACAAGTAGAAAAACTTAATGAAATAGAAATTTAACATAATAAAAATAAATTAATAAATATAATTTATATTTATTTTTCTATAAATTTTATAATTATAATACAATATTTCTAAAACTTTTTTAAAATATTACAATATTTAATTATTTAGAATTAATATGTAATTTGAATCATGAACTATAAGTGTAGGGGCGATTTAAACCCTAAATTTTTAAAAGATACATTCTAAATTCTAAACAATTAAAATTGAAACAATTTTACAATTTTCACTAAATGTTAGTGAAAATCAAACATTAAATCTCATTTACCTATAATTTAGAATTCAAATTATATATTAATCCAATTATTTAAAGTTTCTTAAAGGTGTATTTAGTTCAAAAGGAGAAATGGGTGAGAAGGGGGAAAAAGGGAGAAGAAGGTTTTAATGTTATCTTGTTTGGTTTTGTTGGAGGGAAGGGGAGGATTTTTAATGATCTCTTGTTTTGTTTACGAAAGGAGGGGATATGAGGTACTAACTAATTTACTATTATATCTTGTTATGTGAAATTTATATCTTAAAATTATTCCTTATATAAATTAATTTTATATCTTAATCCAAATTGAATGGTTGAGATAATTTTTCACCTAAACCTCTTTTAATAATTATGTCAATTCTCTTTTTTTTTAAAAAAAATTTGGATGTGCAATATTTTATTTATTAATTCTCAATTTAATTTTAATACTTTAATCTTTAATAAAATACAAGAAAAAGTGGTTTATTATAATAATCAAACACCAATTATCATCTACTTTCCCTTGCCTTGGTGGTTCATTGCTATTATTTGCTTAGACCTTCTTAGATATGATCAAAGATAAGAGGCGATAGTGGGAGTGAGCCTGAAAGAAAATAGAAGAAGAGGGCACACATTGCTGGACATTAACGGTGAAATGTTGAGAAGGAGAGGGAGGAGGAAGACATGGGTGACTGGTCGAATAAGGCTCATGAATGTGAAGAGGCATTTTTTTTATATAATGCCATTCTTGAAATATTAATAATAAAGTGAGGGTAAATTAATTTAGCTCTCTACAAAATACCCTAATTTAAAAGGGACTAAAATAAGGGAAGGGGAATCCAAACTCCCAACTAAACATACCCTAAATTAAGGAAGAGACCGTAGAGAATTACATTATAAGAATAATTTAATAATTTTAAATTTCTAACATAATTACAAATTAAAAAATAAATATTTTAAAATTTTAATTTTAATAGTATTAAAAAATTGAACTAAAGTATAGATTTTAAAAATAAAAAAATCTTCATAACTTTAATAAAATAAAAAAGTTAATATAGTTTAGTCCCAAAAAAAAAATTGCAAGCGCAAATCCATTCACATTTCAAATGCGCGCATCAAATCAAATCAGAATATCACAATCCTTTTCCCATACTCAAACACATTTAAAACTTATTTTTCTTTCATAATTTCAATTAACGAATGCCTCAAATTTTGTGTGTATTTGGATTAAAAAATTTATAATTGAGGTTAGAAAAAAAATCAATTGATCTAATGTGATTTATGTTTGGATAAATTTTTTTTCAAAAGTCAGTTAGATAAATTAAAATTCGTTTAAATGATTTAATTCAAAAGTCAATTGAGATATTTAATGAAAAAATAAGCATGAATTTTTTTATCTTAAATATTAAATCTTAAATAAGCATGTTCATATTTTTTTGACTAACTAATAAGTAAAAAATATTACACTTAAAATTACAACTAATAGGTAAAATATCTTAAATATTCAATCATGAAAATCTAAAATAAATTAATATTCAATTGATATGATTTACAAGTTGATCTCTAATTATATCACAAATACGCTGCATCTGTCTTAACGATTTGGGTAGATTTGACGAGATGCCTCACTAATATCGGTATCTTCCTCCTGGACATCTACACTTTTATCTTCATCTTGTATGAACTGCTTGTCAGTAATTGAATTTCTCCTAATAAAGTTATGAATTGCCATTGTTGCAAAAACAATTTAAACTTGTGTTTTATATTTAAATTTGGGCATTTTTTGTATAATTGCAAACTTATTCTTTCATACTTCAAAAGTTCTTTCTATAGTGCATCTCAAACTTGAATGATAATAATTGAAGACCTCATTATTATTTACAAATCCTGCAACTCGCCTGAAGTCTGAAAGGTGATAACGTTCACAATGATATGGACCAAGATACCTATTTAGTGTTGAATAACTAGAATCAACTAAATAATATTTACCTATTACATGAAAGGAAGTGTTGTAAATTTGACCAACATTAAATCAATACAATAATAATTATAGTGACTTTAATAAAATATACCTAAAGGTGAATGCGAAAAATGCATTGAAGGAGTTGATATGACATTATCAAATACTTGAGCATCATGAGCTGTACCTTCCCATCCCGCAATGACAAAAGTAAAACACATGTCCTAATCACCTACAGCCATGACATTCTGTGTTGCATATCCCTTTCTTCCAATAAATTTGATTTGATCAGCAACATTAACCACCCATGGCACATGAGATCCATCAATTACTCCTATAGCATCCTTAAAGAATGGCCAATACTGTGGATCATTTTGAATTTTTGAATGATATCGTTGAAATAAAGGATCAAGTGGCTTTATGTTTTCCTTGGAAAGGTTAATGTAGGTAGCTAATACTTTATGAAAATTTCTATGGATAGTTTCCCTTGAATGTTGAAATCATTCTTGTATCATCCTATTACTAACTCCATGTCCAACTGTATTTAAAAACATTCCAACTAGTTCCTCAACACCCATTTTTTTAGATTTCTTTAGACCAAGATCAACTAGTGTCGCACACAGTTGTCTAAACAAATGTTTTTCCATTTGAAACATTTTATAACAACGATCAGGATGACCTTCCAAAATTTCATTGACCCATATTTGCCCTGTTTGCCTGTTAGTTCTCCGTGGCTCTTTACACACATATGACATCACATATTCACCAACTAATTGATGTATTTCTTCTTGCTCATTTATATCTTGTTGTAATAATGGAAGTAGTTGGTGAGCCACATCTATATCCTAACCTTCATTCTAACCTAACATATATTCATTTGAATCTTCCATGATTTTTAAACCTGAGGTAAAATAGTATGTAAATATCATTCAACAACATAAAAAATAAAGCATAAGTTAACCATTAAATAAGAGTTAAATATTCTCTACAAACCAAGTCATCATTTGTATAGTAAACTATAAGTCAAAATAAAACAACTACAAGTCAAACACAAGTTAAGTCATCATAAGCCTAGATAAAAATTCATTTAGATGTATTCTTTGAAATAAAATCTAGTAGATGATAGACTTGGTACTTCAACTAATTGACCAAGTGATTAGGATGATCTTTAAGTTACCAGTAAGCATCTCGCATAGGCTTGTACAGAACAAGATTGACACATCTCCAATGCAAATCTTTATCACCAAAAACATCTAGGAGTATATTTAAGTGAGCCACAACTTCAAAAACTCCTATATCATTTACCAAAATCTTGTTCACTGTCTCTATTCTAGCTCTATTATCCTTAGCTATTTTACTTATCGCATCTGCTATTTTCATTGAGGCAGTAACTTTTTGCTTTTTCCTCCCACCAATGCCTACAACCCTCTTTCTCTTGCCTTGACTTTTATCACCACTAGTTCTACCGGTATTTGTGGTGACATTCAAGCCCAACAGCTCATCAGTGACCCCCATAGGTGATGCAGTGTTAGATAAATTTAGCTCCTCTTCAATATCACCGGAGCCTTTTTGAAGGTCAATAGTGGGGTGGTACATATCATCATCATCATCATCCTCTATTTGGGTCTGGGTAGCAAATGGTACAAAAAGTATCTCTTCAGTTGCCAAGACATCCCTGAATATCAAGGTTAATTCCCTTGTACATCTCAAGCCTTTGTATCTAAATTTTTCATAGAAGGGATTTTCCTACAACCATTATAGTAGCCAACAATTAAAATTCTTAAATTAAATTCTAATCTAAAAAATGCTTAACAACTAATCTATACCAAGATTTTTTGCTCCCACTACTCATCTGGAGCATCGACAGTATTCTTGTCAATGTCCCATCCTAAGTCAATTTCACTTAAAAACAACTTATGCCATACGTTCCATTCTTTCCTCATGTTGTCTAGTTTATTTTTTAGTTGCTTTCACTCATACCTTTTTCCTGTTTTTGCCTCAAACCCCTTAATTATTGCCTGCCACCCATTTTTATTGAAAGCAGTTTCTTTCCTTTGTTTTTTGTACACTTGCTCTAAGCATTCCTTAATAAAAATTTCTGTCAAGTTTGAATTCCACACAGCTTTTCCTTTATTACTGTTCATTATTCTACAGACTTGCCAGCCATCATAAACATGCAAAATTAATAAATATCTCTACATATGTGTATCCTTGAAAACGAACAAGGGATTCTAATCAGATCTCAGGCTTTCAAGAATATTAGCTACGGTCATCTCTCTTAATAAACCCAGCTAACTCCTAATTTCTCTTATCCTATCAGACTGACATTAAGAAACAGATTTTAGAATCTTTAAACTTTAAAAGAATCAATTAAGAAAATAAATATGTAATAGAATAAATTGTAAGAAAATAAATATCTAATATAGTACATTAAAAACATGACATGCTTATTCGTACAGCAATATAGAATCAATTCGCACAGTATGCATGCATTTTCCAGGAAGCTGTTTTTGCCTTTTCAAGAATATCATGAGGCTTTCAACTCACCAAAAAATAAACGAACAGGGATTAAAAATGAATGAATAGGGGATGGCTTTCAGATTTCAAGCTTTTATATTGGTCTAATAGCATTATAAATGATAGCAACTTGAGTTCCAAAAGATAAAAATAAAAACTAGCATTATAAATAACGGTATTATAAACAACATTATAACCCAGGCTTTCATACTTATGTTACACGCATGCACACAGAGCACGACAGGTCAAGAAAATAAAAACCAGCAACTTGAGTTCTAGAAAAAAGCAACAGCTCTTCCTCTGCTCTAAGATAAACGAAACAGGGGATGGAAAGTAAAGAGGATAACAAGCACAAATCAGTTCTAGAATAGCAGAGCACAATAGATCAAGAAAATAAAAACCAGCAACTCAAGTTTTAGAAAAAAATGACAGGTCTTCCTTTGCTTTAAGATAAATGAAACAGAGTATGGAACGTAAGGAGGATAACAAGTATTATCAGTTCTAAAACAGTAGAGTATGACAGGTTAAGGTAGAAATAATCTTTAAAGAATGAATAGCAGAGCACGATAGGAAGGAAGCAAAGAAGGAGACGAAAAAAGAAGGACATTACTTGGCAGAGACAAGCAATGAAGAGCAGATCTGGCGATGGAAAGTGCAAATCCGGTGGATACAGTAGAGATTGAGAGGCGATGGGAAGAAGAAGCACCTTGGAGCAGGGACACGATAGATGCTAGAAAAGACGACAGTGAGCTGGAGATCGGCCGGAGGAAGCATATGACTAATGGAACGAGGCAAATCTAAGGTATATAAAGCTTTACGTAAGATTTAAGGTGTGTGTTTTAGAGTAGATAGGAAGGTCACGGGAATAAAAGTAACACGCACAGGAAGCTAAATGCACAGCTCGATAGATAAAAGGTAAGAGAGAGAAAGCATCATAATTTAAAATGCATTTAATGCTTTTAACGGGTAGTAACGTGAACGCTGAGGAGGAAAAGCTAGGGCAGTGAGCTTCTAACTTAATGTGCGTTTTCATGCCAACTGAGGTTCAAAAATTATGCTAATCCAAATAAGATAATTTTAACATTTTACCTCCTAACCTCAGTTTTTCCCATTCTAATTGAGGTCAGAATGCAATCCAAACATGCTTTTCATTTCATTACATGTTTCATGATTTAGTATACGAAACTACACATTTGAAATTCATTTTTTTTGGGATAAAAAAGAGGGCAAGGCCCATACACAATAAAATTAATCAAAGTTTAGGCATTTAAAACCTATAAAATCCTGGAGCACTAAGTCTTTTAGAAATAAAAGAACTAAAGCAAAAAATGAAGAGTTGGAGATACCATTTTTTGCCAAGCAATCAGCCACCATATTTTGTTCACATGGAACAAAATTAATTTTGACATTCCAGTTGTATTTGAGAAGGTTCTATATCTTTCAGGGAAATCATTAATAAAATCCACCAGACATTTTGAGCTAGATTCAATAATGATTTTCCTAAAACCCATATCCTATGCCAATTGAAGACTTTTAAGGATAGCCCATTCTTCTGCTTCAAAGGGATTACAATGACCAAGAGTCTTAAAAAATCTGAAAATTCATGCACCATCACTATTCCTAATTACTCCACCATAGCCAGCTTTGTTAGAGCTAAGAGACACAAGCCCATCAGTATTAAATTTCACCCACCCTTATGGAGGGGGTTCCTGTAACACACCAAAGTTTTTTTTTTAAATATTTTAACTCAACCATAGTTGGGTTACAGCCACACAACACATTTTTATATCAATAAGTTTAATATAAAATATTTTATAATTGGCTTCAACTCACACACTATAACATTTCAGATAAATTTTTACCTCCCACATGCCATTAGGCTAAATCACATTTGTCCATCCTTATACTCCCAACAAGTAAACTAAATCACATTTGTCTATCCTTATACTCCCAATAAGTAAAATAAGCAATTTAGTAAATTTTCAACACAAGCCAGTTATTTGGCCTTATAATCATGCCATTTTAACCAATCCAAAGTAAACCAAATATTAAAATTACAGTCATCCAAATTGTACCAAAAGGAGGAATAGTTTGAAAGGCATGATTACATTTATATATTCATATAATTGACAACGAACAAAAAGCCCTAATATTGGCAATATAACACATTATAAATCATAAATTAAATACCCAAAAGAGACAGTGGATTTATACCACTAAGCCTCTGGGACTCCTCTACGAGTCACTCGTGACTCTTCTCCTGAAAATTGTTAACCACATAATGAGACTCAAAAGTCCCAGTAACCAAAGCCAATTTATGATAGTGTATACAAACAGTTAAGTGTGTGCTTATTAAATGAAAATTTAAAATAATATAATTTCAATAAATATAAGAAATATTACAATACATACAAACAACCATCCTTATATCCCTCCATTAACCTCGAGTCGTAACCCTTACTCGATACTAAATTACCCGGCCAAAGGTAGATTAGCCCGAGCCCTTACAAGCCACCTATTGAGCTCCAATAGGGGTGTACCACGTGGCACATAAATACAACAACAATAGCAAGTCTCCCAACACCTCCCACAATAATTAAACAAATTCATAATCATATTGCACAATTATACAATATTACAAAATTTATAATTTTCTCAATAATCACCTAATTAACATGAAGTAACACTAATCACAAATTAAAAGCATGGTTACCTTGTGGCTTTTTCAATAAATTATTCCTTAAAATTTCTCTCTCACCACAATCTTCACCAGTAATATAATCTACAAATAACATATTATTTATAAATATTAGTTTCAATTTTTGAAACTAATAAAATAATTCTAATAATAGAATTAAAAATATAACATAATTTCTAATCTCAATCTTAATACAAATCTAGAGTTAATACTATTAAGTAAAATTTTTTAACTCCTCTTTTAATTATCAATAAACATTAATAATCTAAAAATCAACTTCTAAACTAATTTCTATTATCAAAATTTTCTTTTTATTTCATAAATTCATACCTAAAATACCCAAAAATTAAAAATTGAGTCTCTAGCTTAGAATCATAATCCTATAACCATAATAATTCATTTCTCATCACAAATAATCATCTAAACCTCAATAAATCAACATATATTTTTAGATCTAGTTTAGAATTTGATCCATAAGCCACAAATTCAAAGATCATCAACAAATTTATACTCTAGAACATTTATTATACTACTGATAACCTCAAAAACCATATTTATTCAACATAAATTCATCCCTCTTCCAGATCTTAAATTTTCTACCACTACAAACTCAGAAACCAAAGAAGAAGGATGACTAAAATTTTTTTTAGAACACTTATTGAGTTTTTAAAATCTAAAAATCACACCCTAAATATCCTATTAAAAACTCTTACCTTAAAAATTTAGATATTTCGCACCGGCGACTCGCGTTCTCTCTGCCTTAGCATGCACGAAGGAATGAATGAAGAAACGAAGGAACAGGTGAGTTTTTATAAAAATTCAGTGGGTCCCACATCTTTTTATTATTATTATTTCTTCTTTTCTCTTTCTCCCTTTTTTTATTATTTTATATTACTATTGATGCGGCGGCCGAAAGCAAATTCTCTTTTTCTTCTTCTCTTCTTTTTTTTTTGCATACCTCTTTTTTTTATAATAATAATTTAATAATATTTTTTAATTAATTAATTAATAATAATTTTTTTAATTAATTTTTTTTAAAAAAATTAATTTAGAATTATATCCTAAGTTAGATTTAATGATCATTTTCTACTAATTTGCTTATCTCTAAATATTTTTTTTTCAAAATTTCTATTAATCCAAATTAACTATTAAAATTTAAATTGAGATATTACAGTTCCATTTACCTATTGCACTTGGAGCCTCATCAACATTAGATAAGGATGCCTCATTCATCACAAAAGATCTCTAAGTGAGGAGAATAATTGTTATAGGGTCAGTTGGCTTTTTGAAATCCTGCTGAAAAGCTAAACAGTTTCTCCACTTCTAAAGTTTCCATATTACAACTCTCTAGATTTGGCTCCAATTTAAGGACATTGCAAGAAAATTTTCCTTGAGATTGCACACAATCTAATTTTGCAAATCCAAGGAGAAAAAATTTGTATGGTGAATGTTAGGTAATAAGTTGCACCAAATCTAACATGCATAACAACAATCCTTAACAATGTGTAAAATATCTTCCTCTTCTATTGCACACTACAAACATCTAAGAGAGCAACCTGCCTAAGAATTTTTCCATTTATTAGTGGGAAGTCTATTGTGATAAGAGAGCCAGATAAAGAAACGAATGTGTTCAACCCCTTTGCATTTCCAGATTAATTTAAAATTTAGATTAAATAGATTTGGAGGGGGTTTCTCCATCATAAAGTAAGCACTATTTAAAGTGAAAGATCCATTACAAGTGCCATTCCAAACCATAATATCACTTCCAGCACCCTAAAAAGGGGCATAGTAAAGATGAGTTTAAAGAGAACCTTATTAGTCACAATGAAGGATAAAGATGTGAAATCCCAAGCTCCATGGGGAGTCCAATCCACAACTTTGGACTTAGTTTCATTAGCTAAAAGTGGTTTAATAGCCATATACTTAATT